TGCTCACCCTGGTCCCACACCTGCCCATCCCCACACACTGCTCACCCTGGTCCCACACCTGCCCATCCCCACACACTGCTCACCCTGGTCCCACATTTGTCCCCGTGCTACTGGGTAGCTCTGACTCATCCCTTTAGGATGACTTCCTGGGGTCAGGTATCCCAAGAAGAATTTAGAGGTGCAGAAACCAGAACTGAGAGGGGCTGGGAGTTGGAAGGAGCCATGTGCACCCTAATTTCATCATCCCTTCACTCTCCTGGGCACCCACAGTTACCCCCCTGGATGTGGAAACAGGGGTAATGTGTCTCTGGGATGTCAGTATTGGCAGGATGACAGGGATTCAGGGCATAGGGGGCCAGGAGTACAGCAGTGAGAACCTTCCAGGGCAGGTCTCAGTCACACCTTGAAAACCATTCCTCAGATGAGGCTCAAGTCTTCGAGAGCGCCTTGAGATACTTGGGCAGGACCTTAAATGATGCATAGGAGTTCTCTTTGTCTTGGCTTCCAGGTCACCTGCTCCATCCCATACTATCCCTTCTTTTTATTTTATTGCTTTGCATATGATTGTTCATGAGCTGTGGGCGGGAAGTCTCTTGGTTTACAGTCAAGCAGAAGCTGGTTGGCATGCCTTGTATTATAAGATGGTAGGAACCCGAGAGCCTGGTGATAATTGACTCTGAGATGATCATTCTTCTGAGTGGTATAGCAGTGGTCTATCTATTTGCTATACTGACATAACTTGGGGTTGCTGTGATGCTGAACACTGTGCTATAAGTGTGTCAAATGCCATAATGGTTAACCATCATGGACAGTGTTTGGTGGAGTTCCCAGATTGATTCAGGTTTGGAAGCAGGAGTGTCATCCACTTTCTAAACCACATGCCTCTGGAAACTCTATGAACAAAGAGAAACTTATAATTATAGAACAGGGTTCGAGTCTTTTGTTTATAGGGTTGCTATGAGTCGTACTCAACAACACAACGGCACTTAACAACAACAACATATGATTGTTCATATATATATTATGTTTCTTTCATTTACATTGTGTTTTATACAACCATTCATACACATTGTTTCATTCAATACATTGTTTTAATACAATCATTCGTGTAACATTGTTTTATTGATGTATGTTGCATTTTATACTATCATATCTATACTTTGTTTTTCTTAAATAATTAACCACTTAGAAGAGTGATCATCCCAAAGTCAATTAACACTAGGTCCTTGGGCTTGCGGCGCTTGGGCCCTACCATCCGATCTATGCCCTTTATCACCGTATCTCATCAAGTCTCCATTGCACCTTGATATTCCTTCACCTCCCACCTGCCCACTAATCTCTGCCCCCCTAGTGATTTCCTCTCCCTCCTTCTGTACCCCTTCTCTTCTTTGCCTCCTCTTTTCAACAGTCTGGCTCCTGTCTGCTAATTGCAATAGCCATATTGTCCTTGTCTTCAGTCCTCCCAGGTCGATCCTCCCTTGCCCTGGTCTTTTGCAGTGTCCATGGTCTCCACGTTCTAGTTCTGCTCTCCATGCCCCCCCCATTCTGGTGCAGCCCAGGTGTGCTGCCCTCGGGTGGGTCTTTAACATGCCCTGAACACTGCAGTGTCCTCCTTTGTCCACCTTAATGTCCTTCCCCCTCTCTAACCAGGCTGCCAAGACAAGTGGTCTCTCCCCTGTGAGGGTGCCCGGACCTTCCTCTTCTTCCTCCAGGGTGGGCCTTCTCTCCCCCGGCCCCACAGGAGGTCCTTCTGCCACACTCCTGACCCAGTGTGCATGCCTGTATGTCTGCTGAGCCCCTTTGAGCACAGGGGCTCTGTGGGTGGAGCCCGTATCTGGTTCTCCCCACGCTCCACAGAGGGCTTGGCTGTGCCCTCACCATGCCTGATAGCATGTTCAAGACACATAAGACAAACTAGACATTGAGCTGAGTTGGATAAACACCTCACCTTGGCCATGGAGGTCACCACAGGACTGGCCCTGGGACACTGAGGGGCCAGGTGTGAAGAGGTGAGTTGTGTGCCATGACTCTGCCCATCATTCCTTTCTGTCAGCTGCCCACCACTCACCCACTCACCACGCTCTCCTCCTCAGCACCCACCACCACCATCCTTAACCACATCCATGCAGCAGTCAGGCCCAGTCCCTCTGCTGTACTCATGGATCTGTGCTCCCTGAAGCCCACTGTATCACAGCCCTTCCACTCCCCATCCAGCGCCATCCTCTCGTCAAACACCCACGCAGCATTCAGCTACCTATACAGCTGCCGATACGCCCACCTTGCCAACCAACGCCCGTGAGTCATCGTCTACCCAAAATATAGGTGGTTCTGCCGTCAAGCTGACTCATAGCAGCAGAGTTCACGTGATGGTCAAGGGAGTGAGTGACTGGGCCAGGCCTCCTCGTCCTTCGCAGACACACTGTACTTATCCTCCACTTGATCTGACGTGAGCTGTCAATCAGTTGAAAGGGGCGTTTCCTTGGGGGAGTGCCCTGCAGACACCATATATGCAGTGTCTCCTTCTTTCTACATCTTGCCTGTACCTCTTCATCCACTGACCTCTGGTTCCTGGGAGGTGAGTGTCCACTCCAGGGGAGCAGGAAGACAACATGCAGATCAACAGACGTGGTAGGAAGAAAGCCAAAGAGGGCCTTGAAGGAAGAAGTTTGGGGGAAGCTCTGCTGAGGGGACGTATGAATGACTTTGGAGCAGAAAGCAGAGACTGTCTGTGGAAGAGTGTGCCGGGATAGAGAACATTGATGCAATTGTTCTGAGACTGCTGGCCTCCCTGAATGTCTGTGGAGACTGGTGGCTGGGACAAGCATCACAGCCCAGGGGGCACCTTTGCTGTCCAGTCAGCCCCGACTGATGACGACCCCCTCAATGACAGAATGAAGCACAGCCTGGTCCTTCACGAGCCTTCTGACCAGTTATAGATCAGACCACACTGGCCTGTGGACGTTTTCATGGGCTGACTTTCAGAAGTGGATCGCCAGGCCTTCTTCCCAGTCCACCTTAGCCAGGAGCTCTGCTGAAAGCTGTTCAGCATCTCCAATGGCAGGCAGGTGTGGCTGTGTGTGAGGGACCCTGGGGGGACTCGAACCCAGGTCTCCTGCACAGGAGGTGGGGGCTCTACCACTGAGCCGCCACTGCCCTCTTGCCATCTGTAAGCCACATGAGGTCCTTGGCTTCTACTCCCAATGAGGCGTGGAGACAGGTGGACGGCAGGGTCAATTCTTCACTTTTCTAGTTACTATGTGATGAGTACATGACGTAATGTCAAAGGAGGGGAAAAGTGACCAGTGACACACAGTGAAAGGAGAGCGTGTGGTCACCCAGAGCCGGTGGTGGAATTGGGTAAGGTGAACGGTGGTCAGATTCTAGCTGATTTTCAGGGAGAGTCCAAAGGATATAAGAAAAAAGAGGTTAGAAAAGCAAGCACCGCTGCTGTGCCACATTTGCTGCGGTGCACACTGGGCGAGCAGCGTGGCCGTTTTCTGGAGCAGGGACGACTTAGTGTTAGAAAGATTAGGGGGTGGGGTTTGGTTCTGGGAACACTAAATTTGAAGCAGACAATCAGCTGTGGAGGCTGAGTTCAAGGCTCTCCTGGTCCTTGGCCCTGAGTGGACCCCAGAGCCTGGAATACCAGCCTTGATCCAAGCAGGTCCCATCAGGGGACGGGGACATCCTCAGCATCCTTGGAGCCACTGACAGCAGAGTGGAACTGACACAAGGGGTTATCAAGACTGTGAGCCTTTAAGGACGCTGACTTCTCCCACAGGCTAATGGGGGCTCAAACCGCCAACGCTCCAGAAAGCAAGGTGCTTCAGCAGAGCTCCACCAGATCTCCTCCAGCCGCCGCCCTCACGTCTACCAGACTCACAGCTGCTCAGAGCCTGCAGTCAGAGGCTGTCCCATCGGGTTTCCAGGCTTGAAGGATTTTTCTTTTTAAATATTTTTTACTGTGATTTGAGTGAACATTGGCTTCCCACTCGACAATTCATGCACATTTCATTTTGTGATGTCAGTTGCAATCCTCGTAATGTTACAGCACTCTTCCATCTCTTCCTTGTGTGTCCCATCTCCATCCCTCCTCCTTCCCTGGTCGTTGCTGCCTTCTTTTTTTTTTTTAAGAATAAACACCTTTAATACATGTGCTAAAATGGGAGGGAAATGTATTTGCCTTTCTGTGCCTTGATTTTCCTCAGGTAGAATTCCAGCTCTTTGCCCTCTAGCACATAACCATCTGCGCGGCCACACTGGCCTGGCCGGGAAGCAATACATGCAAGAAGCTTGCCCTGTTGGAACTGCTCCTCTAGAAGACTGCTGATTTTTGCATTCTTTTTCCTTTCATCATATTTTTTCTGAATTTTCTTAGATCGCTTTTTGTTTAAAATCTCTTCCTCCTCAGGAGTCAGCTTAACCCCCTTCTTGCGACCCAGGGGTAGCGCATAGTGGGACTCGTACTACTGACAGTACGGTGTGCTGTCAATGAGCACGTTGCACGTCTTCACTAGGGTCTTGGTCCGGACCAGCTCCCTGTGGGAGGCCTGGTAGATGACATCAATCATCCTTGTTTTGTGAGTACAACATTCAGAGTCCAGAGAAGTTCCCCACATGCAGTCTTAGGGCACGGTACTTCTTGTTGCCTCCTCTCACATGAACTGTGTGTATATGGTGGGGCCAATCTTAGTGTTGGCAGTGGGCGTCCCAGCTCCTACTTCCACTTCTTGTGTAGGACTTTCTCTTGCCCCTGGTCTTTTGGCGCTTGGGCCAGTTGTCCCGGGAGATGCCCATCACACCGCACTGCCTGGAAAGAGCCGTTGCTGCCTTCTGATCACAGTCCCTAGACAAAAGCTGCCCTGAGGATTTCTGTGGTTGACTATTCTAAGGAGTTGTGTTTTCCCGGTTTGTTCAAGGAAAAATTGATGCTGTGGGTTGTGGTGTTGATAAAGAGCCTTGAATAGCCCGTGGACTGCCCAGAGAACCAGCACAGCCATGTGGAAGGAAGTGCCACCCAAGTGCCCTGTGAGGCAAGGGTGCAAAGTTCATCTCACTTCCAGAAGAGAGATGTGCCGCTGGGAAAGTTGAAGGTCACTGACAGGGAGGGAGACCCTCACGGAGGTGGATTGGCGCAGTGACTGCCACAGGGGGTCCAGGCATGACAGAGGTGGTGAGGATGGTGCGGGAAGCGTCCAGTGTCTTGTCCTGGGGTTGCTCTGAGTCACGGTCAACTCCAGAGCACCCAACAACGACACCGTGGAACTGAAAGTCAAGCTGCGTGGTGAGCTCAGTTCCAGGCTTGAAAGATGACTAAGGGCCGTAGGATCGGGATTCCACCATCTCTGTCAGGCCCAGGACCCTGACTTTCCCCCACGACTGTGAGTTTCCTCACTCTCTCTGACTCTTTCCAGAACCTTCTCATGTGTTCCTTCTCAGAGTGGTCATCGGCAGTGGCCAGTCACTGTCTAGATCTGGTCTAAGGTCCTGGAGACAGAGCTACACACCCCCCAGTTGCCCTTTGGGCCAAATATTTCCAGCATCTTGCGTGCCTCACTTCTCTTTCTCCAGGTGGGAAGAGACCCACAGTTGTATCTTGTGGGGAACCGGCCCACAGCTGACCCTCCAATGGGTTTCCTAGGCACTAAATTGCACAAGAGGACACTGTATTTCTCCCATGGAGCAGCTGGTGGATTTGAACCGTGTGCCTTTGTGTTGGCAGCACAACAAATAAACTGCAAGCCTTTCATTTATTGGCAAATCACTTTAACCAAGGCACCACCCAGGCTCCTAAAACAAACTCAGATTGTTTTGAAATGAGAAGATGAAGCGAGGCACCTACAGGGGCCTGGACCAAGGCCGCTGGGCAGCAGTGTCACTATAGCAACACTGAAGGTACAGCACCAAGCACTCGGTGTCCGCCTGAGATGGCTTCCTATTGTCCGCGTCTGACAGTGGGGCAGGAATGCTGCCGTGTACACAGAAGAAAACGGTTCCAATGATGAGACACGGTTGGATCTGCCGGGACGGTGGGCAGGAACGTGGTCAGGGAGGGACGAGCTGGGGGAGAAATCCTGTGGAGACACTGACACCCCGGCACTTACCATGACGTGAAGTCTCAACTGTTGCTGGGTTTCACCAAGTCTGGTAGGTCGTAGTGATGCTGTGAACAGCAGATGGAATCCTCCCCTGTCCTGCACTGCCGTCACGGTCACGGTCACGACCAAGTCCACTGCTGAGTCCCTGTGCGTCCATCTCATGGAGGGTCTTCCTCTCTTCCACTGAGCCTCTACGTCTCCCAAGGACCAGCGCCTCCGGACGACATGCTCAACGCAGAGGAGACACAGCTCCCCCACCCTCACCTCTCAGGAGCCCCGGCTGCACTCCCACCAGGTTTAATCTCCTGTCACCTCAATGGTGTATCCAGTACCCTTCACCAAACCCACGATTCAAAGGCATCATTGTCTTCCATAGTCATGGTCCAAATTTCAGATGCTAGGAAACAACTGAAAATAGACTATGGCTTGGATCAGGTGCACCTTAGTCTTTGAAGTTACATTCTTGCTCTTTAGCACTTTAAAGAGGTTTTTACAGCAGCTTTGCCTAATGTAATAGTCTTTTGAATTATTCACTATTACTACCACAGGTGCTGATTGCGAATCCAAATGAAATGATGTCTTTGACAACTTATCTTCTCTCCAACCATCAGAATGTTGCCAGTTTTCCTGGTGGTGAGGATCTTTGTTTTCTTGATGTTGATTGTACTTCACACTGAAGACTGTAGCCTTTGAGCTTCTGCAGTATGTGCTTTAACCTCAATAAATGCTAAAAAGCAACATTGTATACAGCTCGTTTTCCTCTCACAGTGCAACAAAGTTACAAATTAACAATAAAGCTCAAATCCAAAAGCCAACAACTTAGAAATGAGTCTAAAAAAAAAAAGAAAGACATAAAATAATTATCACATCTTTAATGAAATAAATATACAAATTCTAAAGAGCAAAAATCTGTGCATTGGAGCCAAAGCTGTAATTAAGCTCAAGGTCACTGCAGTTCTATAAAGTTAGACAGGAGAAATATGCATAGCGTCAACTAAGGGTCAGGAGGGGACCCACCCGATCTGGAAGGGGCATGAGCAGATCGCCAATACCACTCCCCCCAGCCCCCAGGCAGACTGCAGCCCAGAGGGGCAGGCCACTGCTACAGGGGGACAGCACCGCAGCCTGAGCTGAGCCTAGAGCGTCAGTGCTGAACACAGGTGAACCTGTCCCTCTGCAGGAAGCCCTGGGAGCCTC